CCCCAGGAGCAGCTCCTGCACATCCTGGGGTGATGCTTCCCACCCCGTATGGTACCCTGAAAGTCACTAAGGTGTCACAGCAGGAGAAGAGACAGCCCTGGACGAATCTGCTCTTTGAGGAAAGCTCCAAGGGTAAGTGAAGAAAGTTATTTTCAAGTCCTGACAGTGGGTGAAAGGCGTTTGTTTTGGAAACCCAGATTCCTGAATGTAAAATGGCATCTCCCCATTTGTCTACAATGTTTGAAATGAATGTGCTAACTTCATAGCACAGCTGAGAGCCATGAAGGATGCTCCCCGGCAGCTGGGACAGTCTGTCCAGGGGCGCAGGTCAGCAATATGCTCCAGAGCACAACACACTTGTTCTGACGGCTCTTTCCATCACAGCCTGGCTGCCATGGTCCCGCTGGCGCCAACAGGCTCATGGTGGGTTTCTGAGTCCTGGCCAGTGGAGCTCGTGGGTGTGTCCACATGTAGAACACCAGGAGGGCAAGTCCGTCACCAGTTTGCATCATGTGGACGGCACTGGGTGAACTTTGGCGTCCTGCTTCCCATCCACACAGCGACGGACATGCAAGTGGGCCACAGTGTGCCCCTGCTGTGGTCATGTCTGATCCACGTTCCACTGCAGCTGCTGGGACCCCCCAGGCAGATGCGGCTAGGAACGACCCTGATGAGCCCACCAGGTGTTTGCTGCGCATGAAATGTGGAGGCCGTTTGTAACTTCTATGCCGTCTGTGGTCAGAGAAGGAAGCACTGGAGAGCCGGGGGCACACAGCTCTAGAGGCCGCGAGCACGCAGAAGCTTCAGATGGCGGAGACAAAATTCGTCCTGTCAGATGCCTTGTGGCCATCAGAGAGCATCGTGGGCCCGCTTGTGTCTCAGGTTTGCAGCCAAATATCCAGACTGGCCGAGGCGTCATTAGGCAAGGGCCATCCGCATAGATCTGGGGAGATTGGCCTCACGTCAGGCTGAATCAGGGGGCCCCCGGAGAGCGACTGACTGTGGGCTCATTGCTTTAGACAAAGCAGGGCTTGGAGGCAAAACAGGCTGGCTGGGGAGAGGCTCCCACATCCTCTGAAGTGCAGCTGAGCTGCTCCCAGGAAACCCTGGGGCCGACGTCATGCTCCTGTCCCCAGTGGCCCCAGGTGGGGCTGGTGCGCCAGGTGGCCTGTGTATCTGTCGTGGGGACAGAGGCCATCGGCAGGCCCATGCATGGCCCTGCATTGCGCTCTGATGGCTGTGCCTCCTGGAATGCAGACAGTGGTTGCTCGAGACATGGAGGCAGCTTGCCTTTGTGCTCTGACAGGGCAGCATCTGGCCTTGGGATGCCCACAGGCACCTCGATTCCACAGACGCAGCCACGGAAAGACAGAGAGGGTGACAACAGGGAAATGTTGGTTTATTCAGAGTCTCTCCTACATGTGCACCTCATAAGTGCTACCCCCTTAGGGAACAACTCTTACCATCTCCCACCCAGAGAGCTGCTAAAGACCAGCGTTTACACATTTATAAGAGTTAATACGCCTCAGGCACTTCAGACTGGAACTAACCCAGCATAAATCACTTTTTTCAGCAAGGAAAACAAAGGTGACTTTGCTAATTATTTGAACTTTTCTGCATTTATGGCAACACGGGTTTTGTTCTTTTGGGGTTAAATTTGCAAATGTGTATTAACTTTCTAATTTTATGGAACAGACTTTTGCTGGGGTATAGGAACATAGAATCCAGGGTTATGAGTCCAAAGGGGTAATTGTTGGAGAAATGATTTAATACATCACAAATCCCTCTATTTCCATCCCCTCAAATGGGATGCCAAAAGCGATTAAAGACTAAAAACATATCACAAACAAATTCACATTATAAAATTGATGTAATCATTCTCTGCTGGATTAACCGGGGCTTAGCAGTCTCTGTTCTGTGGCTGAAGCCAGAGGTCTTTCAGACGGCCAATGGCGAAGCCATGGTGGCTTTTCGGTGGGAATGAGGGTTTGTGCATTTTGCCTATCCTTTCAGGAAAACAGTTCGTCCTTTATAAAGAGGTGCGTCTTCTTTTAATGCTCCCCACCTGCAAGGGAAATAGGCATGCATATTGGCACAGCCAGAGTGTGTGCTGGGATGCTCATTAGTTTAATGTAAGGTAGAATGAAGTTCCCCGGTGATCCTAGCAACATCTGCATAAGTAAAAAGAGAAATCCCATCTCTGGGATGAAATAGCAACAAAACAAAACAGCTGGAAGCCAATGTGCCTGATGCCCCAGAGTCTATCCATGAACTTAGAGGGGCTGGAGGAGGTGATGCTGGGGACAGGCTGGGGCAAACTCCAGGCCCCGGGTATGGAGCTGGGTTTCAGGGTAGTGTTTTGCCCTCAGAGTCTGGATGTTCTGAAAACCAGGGGTGCTGTTTTAGGTGAGCAAATTTCCTAACTGGGATGAAACAAACTCTCTGGGTGAAACCAAAAGTGCTGGGGCCATGGTGATTGACCAAGTAGATGGGAAAGTCCTCATGGAACAGTTTGGTTTTGTGTAGGCACAACAGCGGGTGGAGGGGCTGGCTTCTTCTAGTTCCGCTGACCACAGGGCACCAAGTCACACAAAGGTGCAGGAGAAATGCGTCTGCTGTCTGGTTGTTTTTAAGACGGGTGGAGGGGCTGGCTTCTTCTAGTTCCGCTGACCACAGGGCACCAAGTCACACAAAGGTTCAGGAGAAATGCGTCTGCTGTCTGGTTGTTTTTAAGAAAGGAAGGGGAGCCGTGTGACCCCCCTTTTGCTTTCTAGCCTGTGTGGCCCTCTCTTTCCACCTGCCAAGCCAGAGTGCGCCCCGGGGAGAGCGGACAGATGAGCAGCAGGCGTCCAGCACTTCACTCACAGGCAGTGGAGGAAGATGGGAGCAGGACTCTAGCCGGGCAACTTGCCTCTCCTGACCTGGCATGGGACTCCTACAGAGTCACCAGGCTCAGAGAAGCCTGCCTCAAGCCCCACAAGCTGGGATTCCCGAATGAACCCCGTCCCTAAGAGAGGCCGAGCTGGGGGCTCATAACCGAGTGTGAACGAGTCATGGTCTGTGAGTTGCTGGACTGAGTCCTTCATTTGTGTGGTTAACAGAGGAAGGAGGAGAAGGTGGCTCTGCTCCAAGACAGACCCCTCAGTGGGGTGGAGGAGGACCCGGCCTTGTCACCAAATGGGGCCACCTTCGGGGGTTCGTCTTTTGTTCTGCTGCATGCTGGCAGCTACTCAGGCTTGGGTTTGGCTGGCCAAGGCAAGGTTGGAGACGGGGACAGGGTGTGGAACCAGTGACTCAGTGACATACACTACTGCCTTTCTTGGTGGAAAACTGCTGGTGGTCCTTCTTGACACCTGCCCAGCCCCAGCACTTTGGAGAAAGACTCAATGAGTCAGTATTGGGAGAGAAACAAAGACGGAACATTTCCAATTTGCCTAGCTCTAGAATTGATTCCTGGAGTTAGTGGACATTTCCCAGTTATTATTAAACAAAGGGCACTCTGTGCGCTTCACATTTTCACAATCTAGGGCTGCAAGATACGCTGTGGTGGCATAGCCACTCGTGGCCACAGGCACGTGAAACGTGGCTGGTCTGAGCTGAGATGGGCTCTAAGTGCAAGACACACACTGGATTTGAGAACTTAGTACCCCCGAAAGGTAACATATCTCATTAATGGTTTAAAAATATTGATCGTATAGTGAAATATTATTTTGGATATGTTGGGATAAATAAAAGTTATCAATAAAGTTAATTTCACCTGCTTCTATTTACTGAGGCGCAAACCGGCGCCGACAGATCGGTCCCCGGGGGCGACCAGCTCTGCTGTGCGCGGCGCCTTGAACCCCGGATGGTGGCAGAATTCTGAGCCGTGCACCGACAGACGGAGACAGACTCTACTATCCCAACGACTTTTAAAAGAGACAGACCCCATCTTCGTCCACACCCGTCGGGACGCGGGGCCCCCAGCGGGCTACTCACCCGTACACCCCAAGCCCGGCCTCCTCCCTTGGAAACGGGCGGGGACTGGTGGGGAGGGGGCGTTGCTGGTCACTGGGGTAAGGCCAGAGCCCTCCCCTGACCCTCAGGGTCAAGCGGGGGCGAGGGCTGTGAGGACCCTCCTGCATGTAGTCCCTCCGAGGCAGAGGACGCGCGAAGCGGGCTCCATCCAACTTCATCCCGGGCCGCGCCAAGAGGCCGACGTTCCGGCGGGGAGCGGCGGTGGCCGGGGAGCCTAGGGGACATCTAGGCGATAAATCCCGCAGACTTCGAGGCAGCAGGTGTCCACTTGCGCGCCTCTAGGCAGGCAAAAAAATAAACATAACCAACTCAGAGTTGGAAAAGGCCGAAAAGCTCTTTGCCCGGCGTCTTCCAACTTTGCAAACGACCGTGCGGGGTCGGGTCGGGGCGCGTCCCGCCGCGGCTGCAGGGACACTGGAGCCGGCAGACGCGGGCGGTGCCGGGCGACGCGCGTCCTCGGGAAGTGCCTAGCCAGAGCACGGCTCTGCAGGTCGGCAAGAAGGTCAGACTGCGGTCCGAGGACTAGCCCAGCGCGAGGACCACGACGGACCGAGCCCGGCTACTTTCTGTCCTTGCGCCCCGCGAGCCGTGGGCCGGCGACGGGCAGGACACCCTGTCCGGGGTTGGGCCGGTGTCTCACCCCGCCGCGGCCCTGGGACCCCGCCGCTGTCGTCTTTTGGTGGGTGAACGGCGGTGCCCGAGAGAACACGGTTGGTCGCCTCCCACCCTCGTCCCTAGACTCGAAAGACCCTGGCAACACCCAAGGGGCGCTGGGAGAGTGCCCAGTGGGCGCGGCGTGTTCCCGGGTCCGGCTCCCTAGTTCAATCCCGTGTCTGGACGGGCTTCCCGGGGCCCCAAACCGTTCGGCGCGCACCGGCTGGAGGGGAAGTCGGGCCGCTTTCTCCCCATCGGCGGGGTCCATCCAGGCATGTGCAGTCGGGGCGGGGTGACACGGTGATCGGGGCAACGTGCATAAAAGGACGCGGGTGGAAAGGAGCGGCGGGCCGGCGCCGTCAGGGCTTCTCGTTGCAGTGTTTGCAAAGCGCGGAGGGCGTCCCGGAGAAGGTGGCGCACTTGTCCGGGCAAGGCCCCAGCGCGGCGCCAGCCGAGAAGGGGTACACGGCGGCCTGGCCGAAGGGCGTCAAGGGCGCGGCGGCCACCGGCGCGGCCAGGCCCTGGCCTTGGTTGAGGAAGGCCACCAGGCGCCGCATCTCGTCCAGCGCCTGCGCCTGCATGAGGATGTAGTTCTTGGCCAGCAGCAGCGTGGCGATCTTGGAGAGCTTGCGCACCGACGGGCTGTGCGCGTAGGGGATGACGGCGCGCAGCCCGTCCAGCGCGTCGTTCAGGTCGTGCATGCGCCGCCGCTCGCGCGCGTTGATGCTCAGCCGCAGCGAGCGCTGCTCCCGGGGCCGCCG